GCAATCAATTATTAGTTAACTACTAACTCCTAACTTCATCAAGGCCTACTCATTTATTATTATTATTTTAATTAACTCTAGTAAGGCTTATTTCTAAATAAAATCTTAGCTCCTCTAAAATCTCTGAATTCCTTAAAGTTTATGTTTATAAACGAAATAAACTAACACTGTGTGTTAGTTTACCCAGTCTGTTCCTCACTTTGTAGTTACTGGTGGTGAAGGTCACAACAGGGCTGAGGAAGATGAGTATGCCTCTGGCCTCCAGCAGTGAGGTTACAGGGGAACTGGATTTTTTTTCCTATTCAAGAACTCTGCCTTTTAAAGTTTGGATGCTTCACTTCTAGACTTAGGGCAAAACCTTTGTTTAACACGGGGAAAGCAACAAATGAAACCCAAACCACAAAAGCAGCTCTCTTTAGCCTAGAAAATTGATCAATAACATTTACTGACAATTCAACAGCAGCACACAAGGTCCAAACAATGAGTTTAGACTTGGTAAAAACAGAGAACAAGAATCACGGGCTGGGTCACTCTGGGTGCTGCACCATTTGTGGGGAGCTGTGGAACCTGCCATGCATGTGCTGATTGCCCACATGAGAAATCTATTGAAACATATCTATTTCTATTTTTATTTTTAATTTTTTTTCTATTCTTCACCTCGTCTTTGGAGCCAGGCTGCTGCCATGGCCCAGTGAGCTCACAGAAATCTTTGTTCCATGGCATTCTGCACACTGGTGGCATCCAGAGGAGACACAAGTCCAGCTAAGGCAGGAGGAGGTGTCTGGTCATGCCAAGGTGCCAGGTAGCAAAGAAGGAGCTGCTGGGAGGAGCAAAGTGGCCCTAAAGGTTCTTGATGGCTGAGGGTGCCCAGAAACACTCTTGATTTGGAGATGAACTCTGGAGTAATGCCATAGTCAGTCTGGGGAGGAATTAAATTCACTGAGCCTGCAGGAAAGAGGTGGTTGCCATGAAGAAAAGGTAGATATTTTTTTCCCCCACAAATTTCATTGCTTTCTGAGGTTATAGGGGTCTTAATATTTGTCTCTTTTGAAAAATAACTCAAGTTTAATATGGGCTGTAGCTTTCCATGTGTCTGGTAGCTTCTCTTTCAAGCAAAAGAAATAATATCTCTCTTGGTTAGGATCAATATGAAATAAGATTAATGCCCAATAGGATCAAGTTATGAATTTTGATCATACCAGCATCTTTCTCTTACACTGCAATAATTTATAAATGTTGTAGGTAATTGCACTTACTAAAGTAAAATAAAAATTAAAATTTATGAATTTGTACTCTGCTCCCAGCAATAAAGAGATTAGAAATCAGTGTTAAATTTACTTGACATGAATACTGAATCAGTATTCCCAGTGGTGTGAATTCTGAATTATCCTGAACATTGTCAGCATTTCATTATACAAAGCTCACTACAAGGCAAAAGAGCAGATATCAGGAGTGATTTCACAATCAGACTTTTATAAAAGCCCTTTAAAAAAAGGAAGAAAGAAAAGTCTATCAAACACCTTTTAATATCAAACTTGTTTCTTTTTATTCTCTTGAGTTTGTATCTCCTGAAAATATTAATCATTCAGATAATTTTGGTTTTGCTGTGGGGTATAACACTGGACAGCCCAGCCCCAGTTCTGGCATGTTTAATTAGTGCTCCATGTGTTTGTGTGAGCCTCTGGCCTTGAGGTGCAGTAGGGGAACAGGTTCTGTGTCCTTGGAAGGGAGATCCAGGCTTTCCAGGGAGATGGTAATATGGCATTCTCCTCCATGCAGAGCCACAGTCCTCATGAATAGTCCTTGAGGAGAAAAAGGCTCTCTTGCTCATGTGCCACAGTGTTTTGATCTTCTGAATCTGCTCACTCTTGATGTAAAGCTTTTGCCACGAGGTGCCTTCCTGGTTTAGTCCCATTCACCCACGAGCACTTCTGGCTGGCTTGGAGGACTGAGCCCTGAGATATTTGGGGTTTTTAGAGCTGACTGTGTGAAGTCAGGTGCTTGGGAGGCTGCAGCTAAAGCAGGCAGATGGTTGGCTTGGGGCAGTCAACCCCAGCCCTTGAAAACCAAACAAGTTCCAGTTCTCTTTGATGCCAGATGTCAAAACAGGCTGTCTCCAAGAAGAAAGGTCTAAGAAAAATCTGAGGGTGCGGAGAACATTATAATTCTGAGCTCCCCAATGGCAGTGCATTGACACTTATTTAATTAGTTTCTTCACATTGCTTTGCAGTCCACACATGAAATGCAATGCATTATTAAGTTACAGTTTCCCTCTTGGTTTTGTCAGTAGCATCATCCTCGCTGTTTCTGTTCCTCAGACGTTGTGCACAGTGTAATGTAGAGCTTGTTTTAAACTGTTGCTAAGGAAAGCTCTGCACAAATGGTGGGATATGGAGCTGGTAGCTCTCCAGCATGCCAGAAAAGACCATCTAAATAAAATAAGGAGCTGAATGCTTGAGTACTGGGAAGATCAGTTCACCTCCACTAGAAATCTGAATGCTAATTGCCTTTGTTTCTTCATTTGAAAAGACAAAAGGACCCACAGTTTTCTCATGTTTATGTTCCTCAATAAGAGATTATAAACTGGCAGTGTTTGGGATTTTCTGTAGTAGGGCTGGTGGCTGACTTCCACTGGGAACACTGGGCTACACAGGCACAAATCAGCAAGGAGAAACCTCCAAGTGCTCTGGGAGCCCCATTTGGTATTTGACAGCTTTTGCATGGACACCAGAGAGTGAAGAGTTGATCCCTAGGGGACCTTTTGCTTCAGCTGCAATCAGTATAACTTAGTCCTGTACCTGCAACAGACCAGCACTTGGTCCTGGTCTAAAATGGGCTGCAAGTAGAGCAAGACGCTTCCCAAAAAATGCAAGGTTGAGCTCAAGTCCATCTGCTCAAGCTGGCTAGATTGGAAGTAATTATTGCTACAGTGTATTCTATTATCATTTGAAGCTAAAATCACCCAGACTTCAAAGAGGATGTGATCTAGCACTGAGTGTGGGAAAACCAAAAATATACCAGCTGAGTGTAGCTAACAGTAATCTGGGTTTTACTCTGAAATATAATCAACAGTGGTCTCTTCAATGTTTATCATATTTCCCACACTCTATTATTTTTATTTTCCTTCCTTTTATTTCTTTTCTATTAGTACTCAATTTATCACATAGTAAGAGCAAATATTTTACTAATAGTTGTGCCTATAGTGTGTGTTTTTCACACCTCTTTTTACATATTCAATTAGAAATGCATTTTCCCTCCCCTTTTGGTTTATTCCGGGAATTTTTTGAGGTTTTTTGGGGTGTTTTGTTTCAGTTTGCTTTTGGAGTTTTTTGGGTGTTTTGGGAAGTGTTTTTTTGTTTTGTTTTTGCTAGAAACTTATTTGCCTTTTGTACTTTCAAGGAAAAAATAAAAACCAACTCCCACAGAAAAATTCCTTCATTGTATAAGTACACCACTGAAAAAATTAATGAAAAAAAAAGGTATTGGTACTGCTGGTGGGAAAGGGAAGGCACGGTGATCAGCTGGATTCTGATGATGTAATTTAGCCTCTGAAATCTGTTGCTCTTGCTAAACTGCTTGTAGTGTCTCACTGCAAATCCCAAAATTAACAGAGCCCCACAAGTGACTCGTGCCCTTATGTTAAACACAGCTCCCTTGTGTTTCACTGTGTGTAATAGTCTAGCATTCTACATCTCCTCTTGCAAATTCAAGGCAAAAGGACTCACAGCTTAAGGAAAAAAAATGGTGAAGTGGCTTTGCATGAAAAAAGAAAAGAGGAATTGAATTTTATGGGCTTCTTCTTAACCTGGAAAAGACTCAGCATTGTCTGGTTCACGGAGGTTTCATCCCTTGTCCCTCCCTGTTCCTATTTTCATAACACAAGAAATGAAATAAGGCACAGTCTTGCCAAGTGATTTGTCAAGGTTCATAAGGGAGAATAACAAATGAAGAACTGCTACTCAGTCTTCTAAGTCTCAGCTTAGTGATTTCTTCCTGAGATTTCAATTTTTCAGGAGTGTTTCAGGCCCTTCTCTAGTTAGGATGTGATTAAAAATGTATTTTTGTAGTCTCTAAAGGGGAAAAAATGGAGAAGGATTCATATTCTGAAATACCACCCCAAGCATCATAAACTCAGTAGCATTGGTAAAATTATATTATGGCAGTTGCATGTACACATTGTGTTATTTCTAATTCATTTGAGTTCCCTTCCTTAGGATAAATGGCAATTACACTGCCTCTCTGGCTGTCAGCAGTACATGACTCCACTGTCATTGTGTCTGCTGAGCAGTTATTTTAGGCTCTGCTCACTCCAGAGCTTACACATTTGGTTTCTTCAGAAAAATACACTCAATGTGGCTTGTCCATTACAGCACCCCCTGAGAAACAGAGGAGAGGCTGAGCAGGGGGAGTTGGACTCCTGGCTCCCACCACCCTGGCTGTGAGAGCTCTGGGGCATGTGTGGGGAGGAGAGGGCAGCAGTGAGATGGGGGGTTGCCCCTGATGCTCTGTGGAGGCTGCCCTAGAACAGAGGCTGGGCAGAGTTACAGAATAAAGCAGGGATTTACTAAAAGGATTCAATGGGCAGCACCAGAGCCCAGCCAGGGCTGCACCCAAGATGAACCAAAATGGTCCCAAAATGCACGAGCGCTTCTGGGGGCTCTCCCTGGGATCAGTTCTGCTCCATTGGCACCTTGGAGTTCATTGTCCCATTCCAGCTCCAGCCCAGGCAGTCCCATCCTGCTTGTTTTTATCTCTCCAGCCCACGTTGTTTGTGCTCTTGAGCCTGAGATTTGGATCATTTGTCCTTGGTCCCCAGCTGGACAAGGAATTGTTTTGTCTCCCTGCTCTGTGAAGAGAGCTTACCATCCCCTAATGTGAAGCTCAGAATTGCACACTAAAGCAGCACAGAGTGTGAAAAACATAAAAGCTAAAATCTGAGGCATCACCCAGCTCTCTGCTAAGGCTGAAAGGGACACAAGGGAACCCTCCTGCTACCCAGGGGATCAGTTCTGGTACTGCCTAAAAGCCTCCTGTGGCAGTGTGTGACTGGTGAGAGTGATGGCTGTTCTTACATTCCCATCATCCTTTCCCACTGGCTCTGCTCCTCATGAGATGTGTTTCTATTTAAAGAATTCTATTTAAATAATTAGTTACCACTGTATTGTCTTGTCTTGTGTTGTTATGTGACCCTGCGGTGGTTTCAGGGCTGGAGTGTTGGTGGCAGATCCCAAGGTGCAGGATGGAGAGCAGGATTTCTTTGTTTGAGGTCTCCAGCTCAGTTGCTGCTCTAAAGAGGAAGTGGGAGAGCAGAGCCCAGCTCATGAGACATCCTCATTGTGTTGTAAGCTTAGCAGGATTGAGTTCTTACTCTTTCAGGTAAATTAGTGGTTGTAATACAGCTTTGTCTTAATTAAATATAGCCCTATTTGCCTGAGTAAAACCAAGCAACTTCACACAGGCGTTGTCTGGGCTGTCCCTGGTGACCAGGTGGTGCAAAATGGCTCAAGCCCAGCTCTTCAGTCTCTGCTCAGGTAAAACACTGCAAAAATAAGGAGGTCAGACAGATATTGAAGAGAGGTTGTGTTCACCATTACCTGATTTGCAGTGGTAAAAGGCATCTTTGCTCTGCTGTGCTTCCCTGCTTGTCTCTGCAGGGCAGGTAAACCACATTACTTATCCAGCTTCAAGGACTCACCTTTTTGGCAGTGAAGACAGCTGGCTCAGAGCCTGCAGCAGAAAGCTGGAACAGGATTTGCTTAGTCATTTCTTCCATATTATGAGACTGATTCTTCTTGCTTGGAAAATGAAAAATGTTTTTGTTTGTTTGTTTGGTTTTTTGTTTGTTTGTTTTTTTCCCAGTGGAAATTATATCAAACTCCTAAAGTGCATCTTAGTAGAAAAATCTATGAAAACCATGTGTTGCATGAAACCAGCTTGGAACATATAAAGTACAGAATGAGGAAGGGAGAATTTATATATAATGTTGCTTCTCTAACTTGCTTTGGAACTGGTCAGGAAACTTGCTCATTTTTCCCTTTTTTCTTTTTTTTTATTTTCTCTTGGGAACTGGGAAAGAAACTATAGTGTTTTTAACTAGTCAGAACTGCAACAATAGTGAGTAGTGTCATCACTGACTGCCAAAAAACCTACCCCAATTATTTGTCACTCAAGCATCAATTTCCCACTGAATTTCAGATGGATGGCAATTAGTAAACAGAAAATCTCGCTGGCAGCTAACAAACAGGAAAGAAAATGAGCACTGCATGTCAGACCACTTTCTTCCATCACACTCATTATCCATGTTTTCTAATTTTATCCCTGATTTAAGCACACAGCAGGTTTTTATGTGTTAGCTTATGTGTACTTCAATATTTTACAGATATTGTCTTTATAGAATAAGCTATTCTTCCTCTAAGCTGTTAACTAAAAAATCAAGCTGTCTGGCCTTTTTTAGGTCCTCAGTCAGCTGGTCACAAGCCTGGAGTACAACTGGTCATATCCTATGAGAACACCCGCCTGACAATAATGCTGAAACACATGAGGAACCTCGTGAGTATTTTTATCAGAATGTGTCACTCCTAAGTCCTTACATTTGCAGAGCACTGTGAAAACATTAATCTTCAAACAGCCTTTCTGGGATAACTAATTTCAGCTCAAAGTAATGATAGTGCTGTTCTGTCGTGATTTCACAATTGGTTTTTCCCTTTGAGCTCACTCAATATGGTTCCAGGTGTGAGACAGATAGAGGAACTGGGTTTCCTTAATGGCTGGTAATGGCCTTTTCCAAGAAAACCAATTTTGATTCTGTTTTGGCCCTCTCAGCTGACACATTTTGATAGCAGTCAGACAGAAGGCATGGTGCAGCAACATGACTTTTTGCAGCATGTTAGCCTGGCACTGTGGATTGATTATCCAGACATTTCTTTCCAGTCCAGCCCAGCTGTCTATGGAGAGGGGAGAGCTCAGCAGAGGGAGTAGTGCTGTGTTTTAAGGAGCAGTGGCATTTGGAGGCATGATGCTCAGCTTTGTAACTCTGTCAGGAGGCTGGGAGGTAAATGTTGAGAGTTCCTGGAGCCAGGCTATGACAGGGGAAGCTGGCAGTGCTCCTGCAGCACAAGGCAGGTGGAATTGGTTGCTGAGAATTGGTGGTTTCAGAGATGGAGTTGGGGCTGTGTGTGAAGTGTGATCTCTCACTGGAGGAGCACGTGGGCTACTCCATAATGAAGTCCCTGCCTAGATGTGCCCTTGAATTCCCATGGCTCACGTCTCAAGCAATGGCTGTGGCAAAAGAGCCTTTATTTGTCTAGCTAGGAGATTAGAGCATCTATTAGCTATTGTGGGTTCTCAGTGTACACTCTGTGCCACCTTCACCCCAAACTGGATTGCAATCCCTTTTCCTAAATGGGGCCCAACTGAGGGGCTTGTGTGAACACCAGCTAGTAACAAAATGAGGCTGATTGTATAATTAGTGGTATGAGGCACATGAGGCTTACATAGCTCTGACTGTTCTCTGCTGGCCACTCTGGCTTCTCATTTGCAATTCAAGGATCTCCATTCTGGTCTATAACATTCAATACATCTCTGTCCGAGGCCTGTTTCCTATGTCCTGTGTGTCACTTTGACAAGTGAGATCAGCCTCTGCTGACAGGTCCAATTTATACAGACTTTACCTTCAGGATGTAGCAGAAGACCCTCTTTATTTTTTCTGTTGAGCTTTTTTAAATCTAAATGACTTCTGATAAAGTTCTAATTGGTGGGAGGGGTATATTTAAGTGATTGCCATGCTGATGATATCCTTGAGACTTCTAGCAGGTGATGTGGAAATGCACACAAACAATTTGCAGGTGTTGATATTAATCTTCCTTTCTCCTTGTTTCCATCATTGTAAGTGTGTAGGCTCCTAACTGTGTTCTTAGGAAGTTCCAGCCATTTAATTAAATTATAGTAAATTGCAGCATAGATAGCTCTGCAGTGCAAACATAAAACCCAGGGCTCAGTTCACTTCATTATGGAAAGGGACAGTACTACTTGAAGTTACAGTGTTGCTTTTGAAATAGGTAATTTAAATCAGGTAATTTAAATCAAAACCATTTCAGTGGGTTTGGAGAGAAGTGGTAGGAGCCTGTTCAGCAAGGCTAACAATGATTCATGACTCTAAAATAAGGTCATTGTTGTGGCAGCCTAACTTAGGCAATCATGGCTTGAAATCCTGGGCTTCCAATTCCTTCCTTCCACCTGGCCATCCATCCCTTTCTATCTGATCTGAAATATGAAACAGTGCTTCAGGGTACTGTGATCCTGGACTGCCTTCAGACCAGTAACCTATAATAGGAAAGTTCTTTATCCCATTAGTGATCTTCTCAGCTTCCCAGCCATATAAATCAATCTTTCTAATGTGTTCTCTTTTCTTTTTCTTTCCTTTCCTCTTCTTTTTTTTTTTTGGTTGAGCTGAACAGGGATTTTAAAAGTATGCCAAGATCATCTATTATTCAAGACATGTTAAAGCTATTTCAGGTATAGTCAGTCTTTTGCAGAGTCTCACTAATTATATTTTAGTGGTTCATCTGTGCACAGATTACTTTGCTATCTTGTTTTATTTCATAATTTATAGTAAATAATTTTTGTTCTTCTCTTCCCTATTTAATTTATCTCTATAAAGAGATTTTATGATGTGTTCAGTTACAAAAATAATTGTAGTGGGCCAAATTAATCCCAACTGGAGCTTCACAGATGACAGCAATTGTGATCGAGACTTTTGATCCCCATAAATAAATTTTATTTAGTTTTTTTGCGGGTTTACTTCTAAGAGTTTTAATAGGAGACCTAGATCCTGCTGTGCAAATCCTATATTGATATACAATGCACAAGAGACTCCCTAAGGAGCTGGTGTTTTTTATAGCCACTCTCAGGTGTCACACAGGTTCTTTAAAGCAGGAAGCCAGAAGACTGCAGTGCTATAACTTAGCAGGAATTTCTCCTGAAGGAAATTTGCCCTTTCACGTGGTGTGTCTTAGAGAAAAAATGCAGCATCAGTGGAGAGAGCCCTGGGGTGGTGCAGACTTGGCAGAGGACTGGTCAGTGTGGATGCATGCAAGGGCCCCTGGCATCTGATGCATCCACACATGCCAGATTTGCTGCAGATGCACAACTCTCCTCCCTGGATCAGCTTCAGAGTGTCCTCTCCCTCCCCGCTGCAACATTTCAGTCATGTGTAAAAAAAGCCAGTCCTGCTTGAAGAAAACTCTATCAAAATTTCTGCAGAGACAAACAGCAGAGAGCAGCCTTATGGATTTTGTGACTGGAAAGGATCATTAATCTAATCTAACCTTCTGCAAAGAAAGAGCTATGTTTTTTCACTAAGGAAAAACTTGCAGCCAAGGAAACTGTTTGAACACAGAGAAGTTAAGACTGGCTGGTAATGTTTGCCTACAGTTTAAGGTTGTGGGTGCACAATGAAGACAAGTTCTGTTAAACAGATATTTATAAGATACTAAAAATGTTTCAGTCTCAATATTTGCCTCAGCAATTCAGTTTCATTTGAATCCTGAGATTCTGTAAGTCAGGTGGCTCACTGCTTCTACTTAAGATTTGAATGGCATCACCATGATTGCTGAAGAAAATAACTTTAAATTCAATTTTCAAATATACAAAAGCCATGATGCCAAGAAAATGCAATTTTCCAAATATGTATATTACATAACTTGAAGTCGGGTTATTGGGGCATTGCTGCTCTCAAGTGCAGACAGTGCCACACTGGGCACTTTTCTGGACTACAGGCAATATTGCCTTAATAAAGTGAGGCTAGGGTAGAAGGAAACATTTGTGTAGGGGTGAAAACCTTGGAGGCATGGAGGGTTTGCCTCTGGAGTCTTGGAGGATGTGGCAGGTGAAGGGGTGAGACAGGGCAGGCTTATTCTATAAAGACAATAGCACAGTACCTGGCAAAGTGCATTAAGTGGTCTCAGAAGGGATATAAATGAGCCCCAGGGGAGGTTTGCTTTGGCTTCTGAAAGGATTTGTTACCTTAGAAGGAGAATAGTGCAATTGTGGCAGCACGATACCCAGACAAACATGAGCAGGCACAAACAGGAGCACAGGGGGAATGCTGCTCTTCCTTAAAAATGTAGCCTTGTGCAGATGTGGGGATGGATTTCTTGAAATGCAGGTCTATTTTGAACTTGTAATATTCCAGTGCAGTCCTGTTTTACCTTCATTTACCAACACAGAGAATGGGAGATATCCAGAGCCCCCCAGGTCTCACACAGGGCTGACTTTATCTGGTTTAGCTCCACACAGCCAGAAACAGCCAGGCTACCTGCTGGTGGGCTCACTCACTCAAAAAAAAAAAAAAACAACCCAGACGCAACAGGAATAGCCACTGCTGACACCCAGAAAAGGGTTTATAACATGTATTTCCTTGCTTGATTCATGGAGAAGCAAAGGGAACTGTGGTTCAGCACTGGCTCAGGAGCAAGCCTGCTTTTGCTACTGATTTCATTGCCATGACTTCAGGCATGCCCTGTTTTCCTAGATAAGCGGCTAAACTTTCAATCCTCACTGCTAAACGTTTTTTGCCCATTACTTCTCGTGGACAGAGTAACTCCTCAGGGGTAGAGGGGAGGAGAAACAAAGCCAAGTTATCCTGAACTTCACGCCAGTAAATGTAAAATGTTACTAGAATTCAGGAAAGCATGCGTGGGCGATGAATTCAGAACCAATTTTACAGGGGGAAAATTTTCTGGAAGAAAAATAAACTCCTACAGTTCTTTGCAAAAGTACTTCCAGCTTTCCTTTCATAAAAGCTCTGAAGCTGTCATGTACCACTTCTGGTGATTAATGATTCTGGGATAGCTGATATGTGGGTGACGAATTAGTAATCAGCTTTAGGCTTACACAGACATCCAGCCTCTTTCCATTTTGTGTCCAAATTGCTTCCAAAAATGTTTGTGAGATGCAATGGTTTAAATGTTTTGGGCAAAAAGATGGGAGCCGCTTTTTTGAGTTCTGGATGCTGAGAATTTTAGACTTTCTGTGGTGACTCGACTCTCAGGAGAGCACTGCATTGGGAACTGAGGCCATGGAGAAGGCTTCCAAAATTGATTGCTAGCACCGGGACTGGGGGTGTGTATTTGGTTAGAAGTGTGTAATATCACAGGGTGGAAAACTTAGAGTTTGGGGTTATAGAATATAGTAATAGATATGAAGCAAGATGGAGGTTTTAGGGCAGGCTGGTCCTTCTTCACTTTCTTCTTCACCTTCTTCTCCATGGGTTTGGGTGGTATTGTGTAATCAGACAGAAAAGTCCACAGTGTGAGCTTTGAGTGATCAGTTATTGGGTTAAAAGTGAAAATAATTTAGGTGCCATTTCTTAATTGGATAGTTCAGCCTTAAAAGACCTTGTAACAAGAGATAGTTGGCCATTTTGTGCCTTAATGAAAGACTGCAGAACTCAGTGCTGTGAGGCTGTGACATTGATAAGAAACAATAAACACCTGAGTCTGAATGTGAACCTCAATCCCAACCTCAAAAGAGGTAGAAAAAAAAGCTGA